TATATATATATTGAAACTTGTGTTTTATTATACCTTACAACCAATGTTAAGAATTTAAATACTAAAAATAAAGACATGCTTAAAATTATATTTCCAATATAAATCTCAAAAGATTTTTTTTTCTATTCCACCCGATATGATATTTATTTTAAGTACTTCAAAAAATGTATTTTTTTCACACTTTTGAAAATGTAAATTTCTTACTGCTTTCAAAACTTTACTTTCTTACATAAAAAAATTCTTCCTTTGGGGCATTTACATTTATGACCTTTCAGCTCAGCGCTCAAATTTCCATTTTTTCGTGATCGCAACAGTCGGCGTGGAAGTGCATACATAAGGAAAGAAAAAATATTAGCTTAGCTAGAAGAATAAAAAAAATCGAAGTTCTTAAAAATTTCAAAATATTCTCTTTTTTAAATTTCTTATGAGCTGAGACATTTGAAATGTCTTCGGATTCTTTTGAGTCAACTAAACTGACAATCATAGATTAGGCCTATTGAATTTTGAATATTTTTCCTTCTAAAAGAGAAGTTTTTTTACAAAACGACATCGAATTATACGAAAACTGCACAAATCTGTAAACTAACTATAAATGTCATGTATTGTGCATAACTATTTGATAGAAACCAAAGAATGCATAAAAAAATTTTATGATTTAGTTATTAAGATACGTGTGTATTATTCTTACATTAATACAAATATAAAGAGGGATTTAGACCTCATTTTAGTAAGATATCATAATATGATACGTACTTTTGTAAACATTTGTTAAAGTTTTGTGCTTTTACAAATTTTAATCTTGTTTCTCAAATATTTCTTTTTTAAGTTAAAAATAAATTATAATATGTTTATAGTTTCTATTTTAGATCTAAAATTTTTCTATAAAAAAAGTTAAGTTAGCAAAATTTAGTGAAATAGCAAAAATGAATTAAAATCTTTTTTTACAGTCTGTTTTTACTCTCTGTTTTTATAACCATTTATCGAAAACTTATGGAAGATATAGATAAGAATCAAAAATTCTTTTGCATTCTACAGAATCCGTTTTTCAAACCATAGGGCAAAATAAATTTTTTTAATTTTTACTGTCCTTAAGCAAAATATTGGAAATTACATTAATTAATTATATTTTTATAGGGAAATAAATTTTCATAGTGGCAATGGTTACAAAACTGTTCCATAAGAAATGTGTATTCAATAAAATTGGAAAATCTTTAAGTAACGGTACAAAAAAGCTTTTTTCCTTAGTAATAAAAAATATAAAACTTTTGAATAATAATCACATTAACGATTGAGTAAGTATTAAATACCTTATGATACGCCCTTAAAGATTGAAAAAAAGTATAACTCAATCCATAATTAATTAATCTAAAATATAAGCAATTAATAAGAGTAATGCTACAGATAAGAAAATTAACATTAAAAAATTTGTATGTATTATTTAAGAATAATCTGTAGAGTCATAAATAAATTATTTGATTTGGATTCAATTTGCTTAAAATATTTGGCTCGTTTTATTAGTAAGGAAAAAATTAGAAAGCTTAAAAGAAAACAGAAATTCTGAATAATTAACAAAAATACAGTAGAATCTGGATAATCCGAGTTAATGTGGACCACGGCTAACTCGGTTAAGGCGAAGAGTATAAAAAGGAAACGAAAAAGAATAGGTATAAATTAAATATATTTAACAAATACGAAATGTAAAAGAGTACACCACATACAATTCGGATTGTAATTAAAAACTTTACTTATAATCACTTAAAGAGCATATTTTCCGAGAATTATAGAAATTTTACTTAAAGAAGACCATAATCGTTTTTCGTTCTACATTACTTTGGCGCCTATCTGCAGCAATGTTTTGCCATTTTTTTTTGGGGGGGGGGAGAGGAATAACAGGAAAGCTGGGGTCGCCTCTTCTTGTTCCATGTATTCAATAGCATTTTCGATAGCTTTTAGTCCGTCTGTATGGGAGATTTCTATATGTTGATTTTCATCGTCACTGTCTTCATCCTCTTTGCTTGATTCATTTTCATTATTGACGATATTAGCGATTATTTCCTCGGATCAAGTTGTTGGATTTCGCTTACGTGAGTGTTTTAGAAGATAAAATTCAGATTTATTTTTTCGGCGGAAGTTTCAAAAATAAAAAAATAAACTAGAACAAAAATTTCCTTGAAATATTTGATAGTTCGGTTAAAGCGGAAACTCAGATAATTGGGTCTCTACTGTAATTAAAATTAACTAAGTTTTCCTCCCTGACTGTAAGTTTTGCAGAACTTCATCATAAACAATTTTATGAAAAAGTGACTATTTCGTATTACACATATTGGTAGTTTTGATACATATTTTTTCTATTTGTCGACAACTACTTTGCTCAAATGAATATTAAATTATCATGTATTTTTCTAATATCTTCCCTTTCGTTTTTTCTAGGCGCAAAAGGTGGATATGTTAACAGAATATTTTAATTATGTCATTACAACACTAGTAAGTTTATACATTTATTTTATAAAAAAATTTTAAAATCCAGTATGCAGAAAAATACAAGCTTTCAAAAAAAGATTTTGTATAATGTATTAGTAGAAAATTAAACCCAGCTTGTTCATGCCTTTTTCTGCCCTATTAAGCGCAAAATTGAAGTGGCTCAGACATTTGTGGATGTTGAGTTTTATCTTGTCTTATATAACTGACTATGCACAGACGAAATTTGTGGATTTTTATGTATTATATGTTAATATATTTTCGATAGATATAATATATTTTTAAAAATATATATTTTTCTAAAATATATATCCAGGAAAGAAGATGAAAAATTTCAACATTGCTTCAACAGTACAACAACGTTTGGCAAATTAACATTAAGAAATGCGAAATAAAAAATTTAAAAAAGTATGTTTAATTGTCTTACAGAAACTGAAAATTCTTAAAAGGCTATTTTTCGAAACACTTATGTTTTATCCGGCAAATAAGTTTTGAAGTTTTCTATGTTCTAAATAATTATTTTCTCAGATTTCAACAGCGTTTTTTTTTAAATTTCTTTGCTTCAATATTATTCACGAACACTAAATCTCTATGCATTTTTGAAACATATCTGACAAATACAAAAACGTTTAAGTATCAAATTCTTTAAAATATACGTTCTTTCTTTTATATATTGTCTTTATATATATCTTTACTTTGAGAAGTATTAATTATAAAAATTAAATAAATGTTTTTTTTATCATGCGCTAGTTTGTAAAGATGAATAAGTTGCCCAGGTAAGTATATTCACTGGGATTAATGTTTAAAATATATACTGAAGTACTTCAGAATGCATTATCCTACAATAATGAAAAGAACACCAACGAATTTACAACAAACCGGTTCACATGTTTAGTCTTGCTTCTCATAATATGATCTGATGTATTTGCGTGTTGTTCCTAGTGAATTCCATGGTAAAGTCTCCATGGGCATTTCGGACAAATGGCATTTGGTATTGGGTTCTTCCCACTCTCTGTCAATTTCGCAAAGCTGCCGAATATAATTTCTTGAATGATTAAACCTTAGATCATATTATAAACCAGTATCAAGGAGTAGTATTAAGTTATTACCTCCATGAAAGATATTGGTATAAAATATCATTTTCGGGCCAACTCAAAGTTCACTGGAAGGAAAAACACCAAGGAATATTTGTAGGACAAGTTAAATTGACGTTGAGGAACCAGAGATCCACGTTCGAAATCAATACAATCAAAGTGGAAACATTCTGACCTCAGAAATGAAAACAAATACCGTTCCCGAAGTTGAGTACCATAAAAAGAATCCCCAGTATAACTTTAGAACGTGAAAGTTCATTCTAATAATAATATATTAATTCCTTTCCTTTGTACTATTACAACTTTAAGTCCGTTCCTTTGTTGTAGGGTAGAGTATATATGAAGCTATGAGTGTGAAAAATTAAATAAATTAATTGCTCCAATTAAAATCATTTGCCAAAACTTTCGAAGTGAGACGAAATAAATGAAAGCTATAGAACAAATTCAAAAACATGGCATTAATCATTCAAATTTAATTGAGAATGCCAACAAAATTATTATGTTCCAGTGGATCCCTTCGCATGTGGGAATCAATGGCAATGAAAAGGCAGACCAACTAGCCAAGAAAGGGACACTCGAATCACAATGTAATAAGCCGATTCCACCAGACTCCCTTAACAAACAATTTTCTGAGAAACTTATGACCGACCTAAAGCGCAACCAAGCAGTAAAATCCACCGGAAAACCCTGGGCCAGCATCCAAAACTGTTGGAAGAAATTTTGTCACAGTCCTCATAAGAAGGCTATGGCAAACTTTAGACTCTCAACAGGCCATGGCTGCTCGGCAGAGCACCTCAACAGAAAAGGTATCCTTCCATCTAGTGAGTGCCAAATCTGCAATTCGGGAACCATGAACTCAGACCACTTGCTTGTATGCCCTTTACTGGACAAACAATCTCAAGAGCGGGGTGAACTCTGTAAACTATACTGGGATGCCAGAGATCATATGAACTCACTGTAAAGACTACTCTAGATATTTTTTTCTTACTTTAATTTTATCTATGTGTTCTTTTTGTGTTAATATGCTTTTGTCATGTGTTCTTTGTTTGTAAATGTAATTTTGTTCCTTTTTACTCCTTGTTTATTTCCACTTAAAGTTGAACATTGTATATGGATTATTGTTTCCAATAAAGCCATATGTAACAACAATTTTTAAAAAATCCCCTTTTTATTAAGGATATACACACTGTGAATTTGGAAGACTTTCGCTACATCGGGACAAATATCACTGGTTTCCGAGTGGTGGATGAAGAGGCCTCGGATTACCAAGAAATTGTCCAAGACTGGAGATCTGGTCCAGTCACCGGAAAAGTACCAGATCTTGATCCAGCTCTTTATGAAAAGGTAAATTTTTCAAACTTAAAATTGCAGTAGTATTAGTTTTCAAATTTCTTTGATGCAATGATGTAAATATATCTGTGATGTTACTCTACTTCAGTTGATAACTACTTCGGGGGTTGTGTTATCAACTGTTACGTTAGAACCTAAACGAAGTGAGGTTATAAATAAAAATAAAGCATAAAATAAAATAATTGAAATTACTTATTTGAAATTATTTCATCTCCCACAAACTTTTCATAATTGTTATAAATACTATAGGCATTCGTTTAATGGCTAGTACAATATTGTGCAAATCGATTTTTGATTTCATGTGCTACAGAAACTAACAGCTCCACTTATAATTGTTACGTAAATCAGATATAATTGGAAAGAGATTTTAAGTCTGTTATCTTCAGACATCATTAATAGGACAAATTAAGTGAACTAGAATAAACACGCTTAGTTTCACATAAATATTCTTTAACTGCATTCAGATTTGTCCACCGCATGTATCAGAACTTCGAAGTAATTTTCTATGTGTTTTCAATTTTAATGCAATCTTTAAATTTACTTAGAATCGGAAACTTTTTTTTAAAAAAATCCCAGTTATTTTACCCCTTAATGCTGCTAATAATCTTTTGATAGCTATAATTTCATTTTTTATGACATTTTATTTAAAGCAAAAGAAATATTTATTGTTTACTTTAAATCAGTAAGAGACCGACACTTTTCCAGACAAAAGTTTAGAAAGACCGTGCATTCTAATGATTATTATAATTACGTTTCTTTTTGAAATTTTCCATTTTAAAGGATTATGATTTTCAGTATCGCGAGGTTTATCGTCAATACGTCATGGTTTTCTTTAAAATATAGACCATTTTAAAGAGAAAAAAAAAACCAATAGAAAAGCAAAGCTTGGTTGGAGTTAAAATAGGATGTCCCTTAAACTTGGCAGCGAAAATTTGAGCTTTTGCTGTGCTTATAAAATCTTCCATTTTCCAATTATTTGAATAGCAATTTCTTACTATTATAAAATCTAACTCTTAAGTCATTTTTTCATGCTTTCTGCAAGAACGTAAAAATTCGCCAAAATAAGAGGGGCACCCTACTGTAAACCTTCATCTAAAGCTTTATGCTTCACAAGATGTTCTCATTTTATTTTCAACCCGATTCAACCAAATTAACATAATTTTACTTTCAACCTAATCCAACCAAATCAATATAATTTTATTTTCAACCGAATACTTCTTTTACGGAAAGATTTATAATTAAATTGTTTGATGATATTTTTTTAAAATTGTTCAAATAACATTTATTTATATCAACACTATTTTCAGTAGCACATTATAAAAAATTTTTGTGTTTGACTAGATATATATTGCTGTTAGTAAAAATAAGTGAATAACAATTTTCATCTTACTTTTATGAGGAAATATTTATTTCAAAATGTTACTCTTAAACAACTTTTATGTACATTTAATAAAAATTTTAATTTATTTCCATGCTTTCTTTCCTCTAGAATTTTACGGTAAGTAACTATTTATTTAAGTTTATATTTTTAAATATCAAATATTTTGCTGAAGAAAATGAACAGCATTGTTTTTTGTTTTTCATCGTTTTATAAATTTCTACTAAAATTGTATGATTTTGATAAATTACTTTAAATGAAAATATGAAAAATATAATATGGAATAAAATACAATGCGTTATTATTGTAAAATAATTTATTATATTTAAAAAAAACTACTAAGCGTACGTTTTCAAAAAATGGTAATTCAACAGGGAATAATTTATAAATAAATGTAGCGGAATCGAGTATGAACGGAATTTTGATAAATACATTGCACAGCTTTTATCTTTAATATTATTATTTGTAAAACTGCTTTTTCAATAGTCTGTGCATAAAATTATGTAAATAGTTTTAGAAAAACATAGCCAATAAGGAAGTTAGAATAAATAATTGCAAAAACATTCATGTCTGAGTTCAGCTATGGAGTAAATGAAAATCAGCCTAAATCCATCTAGATCATGTATAAATTTATAAGATAATTAAACCAGAAGAGCATAAAGTGAAAATAATAAAATAATTAAATATAAAATTACGTAAATAACAGCATGTAGCACAGTAAATAACAACAGAAAATAACAGCACAAACCAAAAAATTAAAAGAAAAATTGCCATTTTGGTATTAAAAACAAGTATTCACTGATTTTCTTAGAAGTATACAATGATAATGAGAACTGATAGTACTGCTAATTCTTAGAAAAGATGACAGCACTTTTTGTAATAGCAACTTAAATGCTTTTTTATTTAATACAGTATACAGTTACATATTACGGTTGTATTCTATCAATGCGTTAAAACTACCCCAATTATTTGCAGCACAAAGCTTTCTTCAGCTTGTATAATTGCTGAGGTATTTAATTTTAAAACAAAATCTATTTTCATGAAAGTCAATGGAGAAACAACAATAACCTCTAATTCAAGCATTTCAGATAATACAATTTTCTTCTTACACAGTCAGAAATTTTTCAGAAAAAATTATTAAATAATAAATTATTTAATTGTAATTTTACCACATTCATCCGAACCTGTAAAATAACCTTTACCGTAATTTCAGAACAAAAATTTTAACAGTATAGAATAAAAACGAAATTATTATTTTATTTTTGATTTTAGCTTCAAAAACATTTTCATAATTTTTTAATAAGACATTATTTGCGTTGAACGTATCAAATTGGATTTATTGCTAATGATGTTCGTATTTTGCGTACTTGCAATTTTGAACCCAATCCATATGACAGCTTGAAAAACTTCTAGGAGAAACTCGCTTTCGTGGATAGGATTTTGGATGAAAATAACCCCCATTTATATTAAATGGAGAAGAAAACCTCGAACGGTTAGTAAGATTGCTCTAACTTATGATCTATTTACCTCTGGATCAGCAATGTAATATCTGCGAGCTGGTACTTATATCTCAACCGACCAGTCTTCACCAGTATCTTAACGTAGATCTACTCATTAGGAAGCTGGCACTCTAGCTGTAGTTTCATCCAAGACTCAACATTTTATTTTGCATAAAAACATCTAAATCAACTGAAATATATTTTGCATCAAGCAGATATTTATATTTTCATTTTGTTATAAATACCGATATCACCAAGGGCTTTAGAGTCGTTGATATAGAAGGAGAAAATGCTTTCCTCTGAGTAAACTTTGATTTCTTACGTTTTAAAGTCTAAGCAAAATCAGCGCATCTGCCTATTTAGTTTCTAAACTGCAATTTTAAAATATTGGTTTTTAAATATAACTTGAGTGACTTAAAAAAAATTGTTGAATAATCTAACAAACAAAATCCTGAAAACGGTTCATCGATTATAAGAAAAATGTGATAGATTTTGTTTTAAAATCAAATGTCTCGAAGGAATTTATGAAGAAAATTTTTTTTTCTACTGAATGTATTTTTCTTTTTAAATAAATATTTATGTCAATGTTTACAGACGGAAGTCGCGCTGATGTATGACGCGGTTTGGACTTTCGCGACAGCACTGAACACATTAGAGAAAGGTCAGCGCCTGCAGCTCAAATCCGTCTCTTGTGACGAAGAGAAGCCTTGGTCTTATGGTCTGCAACTTGCTAGACACTTGAGAGGAGTAAGTATCACATTTTCAGAAATTAAATGAATAAAAAGTATCTAAAAGATAAAAAAAAACTTCTTTTTTTGCTAGGCTAAAGGTCTTATGCGTTTCTTATTTCTGAACTACACTAGTAACAGACTGCTTCTGCTTTTTTAATGTCAGTTACGTCAAAAGAAAGATGAGAAAAGTAAAAGAAAGATTTAAAGAAAACTAAAAGTTAATGCTTTTAGTTTTCTTAATTTAAGTTGAAGTGATTTATTATTCATTAATTTGAGATGAAGTGATTTCTTACTCAGTAATTTAAGTTGAAGTGAGTTATCATTCACTAATTTAAGATGAAGTGATTTACTACTCAGTAATTTAAGGTGAAGTGAGTTATTATTCATTAATTTAAGATGAAGTGAGTTATTATTCATTAATTTAAGATGAAATAATTTACTATTCAGTAAATTAGGTTGAAGTGATTTATTATTCATTAATTTAAGATGACGTGATTTACTACTCAGTAATTCAAGATGAAGTGATTTATTATTCATAAATTTAAGATGAAGTGATTTACTACTCAGTAATTTAAGTTGAAGTGATTTATTATTCACTAATTTAAGATAAAGTGATTTATTGCTCAGTAATTTAAGGTGAAGTGAGTAATTATTAATTAATTTAAGATGAAGTGATTTACTACTCAGTAATTTTAGGTGAAGTGAGTTATTATTCATTAATTTAAGATGTGAGTTATTATTCATTAATTTAGGATGAAGGAAGTTATTATTCCTTAACTTAAAATTCGAAGATTTATGCATCAGATTAATGTTTGTAAATTTAGCACTAAATTTTAGAGATTTAGGGTTTTGAAAATTCAGGAATTTAAGATTTTTTATATTCATTAGTTGACAAAATTATATTATTCGTTAGTTTAAAATTATAATAGCACAATTAGTTTTTTCACTTACAGATTTTTAATCGCTATGTTTGTTTACGATTTTCAAATGTCCAGAAAATGTATACAAACTACTAATTTGATAGTGTTTAATAATTCTAAAATTTTTAAACTTTCTACAATTATTCAAAAACAATTTATGAATGAAACCTTTAAACGAAAAAAAAACAACAAAAAATAGCAGGCGCATATTTTAAAATATTGAAAAATTACGTCCTCAATGTAAGAACATTTTTATTGGTGCTTTAAGCTTCCTGGTTGAAAAAAATCGTTTTATTACTTTCATACATTTAAAATAATTATCTTTGTCATTTGCATTTCTAACACTGAAGTATTTGAAAATATACAGATACGTATAATAATTACGTGAAATATAAGACATAGAATGAATAATGATTAATAAATGATCATTTTTAGCAATTTGTGATCATGTATAACTGTTTTCATTCAGGTGGAGCTGCGTGGGCTGACGGGTCGCATTGTGTTTGATGAAAACGGTCAGCGCACTAATTTTACTGTCAAAGTTACAGATCTTACGCATTTGGGCTTAAGAGAAGTAAGGATTATTACCTTTATACTCAATTCTTTTTATTAGCTTTTTATCATTTTTCATAAAAGTGATATTATATCCAAACAGGTTTCAACGAAAAAGTATTTAAATTTCGTACAGCATTGTGAGTAAAATAGAACTCCGTTATCAGTATATGTTACAAAGACAAAAAACTGATTTAGAAGCATGTTATACCTTTACTATCTTGTAACAACAAATACATCCTTTTTCCCTCCCATTTATCTTTTCTTTGTCTTCCTTTACGTAAATAAAGCCATAACATTAATAAAAAGGCTAAAAAAAAGATGATAACGTTTCAAAAGCTAATATTTCTTTTTATAATTCAACACGACGTAGTTACAATTATTGCCTTTTCGACGATGCTTAAAATAAAGTAGCAATTTTAAATCTTATAATTTGATTTAAGAATCAGACGTCAATTCTACATCGTCATACAATATTCAGTTATACACAGTGATACTGTTTTCTTCATAATATTAGACCAAAAAATCCATATCGAGAATGACCAAGCAAGAATTTATAAATTGCACATTTAATACACGCAGCAATAGCAGCTGGAGTATAGCACTGTATGTTTATACACGCAGCTACATGCTTATTCAATTGTGTTTGTTTATTCAACTGTGTATGCAGCAAATTATGCTTATTAAAACTTTTTAAATTCTTCACATGCTTGATTTTTAATAAATTTCACACGCTTTAAGATTTTTTTCTTTTTTGAAATTAAAATATATACGAGCATATGAGGAATTTTACAATCAGAGTTAATGTCGGAGGCGTGTGAGGAACGAAGAAATAGAATCGAAATTATATAGTATTGCAGGATCTGAAATGAATTTTACTCAAGCTACGTTTAAAAAAAGAATAGGAACAGAAGATGCAACATAGAATCATTTTAATGAAATGTTTTTCGATGGCCAACAACTACATTATGCTACAAATGTTTAAAATTATGGGCGAAATTGATGCCACATCAATATATATACAGGGTTAATCATAATTCCCTCTGCCTGTAAACGCCATTTTTGTTTATTATAACTGGCTTCAGTGGTGCATGTTACTGCCATCTACCGACAACTGCTTAAATTAAAACTTGAATACCTTCGGAATAATTTCATACGTTCTTTTTTGCCATATTCGTCTTCGTTTTTTTACTATAACAATTCGAAACCCCGGAGGGAATTATGAATAACCCTGTATATATATATATTTANAATATATATATATATATATATATATATATACTTAATTACAAACTGCGTAAAAATCATTATTTGTTTTCACCGTACAAATTGTTTATTTGGCTACGATTTAACCGCTATAGCAGATCTGAAGCATCGATGCGCGATATATTCTATCTACATGCAATATATATTCGATAAATAGTACTTCTGAATAATCACTCTCACAATTTATACACAATGTATTGATACTATCTCTAATCATCCCTAAATATTATAAGACTTTAAACGCTTTGAAATGTCAGGTTATTTCAACTGCAGAAATAGGCTATATTTTACATTAAAGGCAATCAAACTTATTTAGTTTTAAAATAGGATAAAACCCTGATGTAATCAAGAATCTAGATTAAAAACCAGAATCAAGATTTTAAGAAAAAGATGAAAGTGAAATTATTTCTTTTGTACACATAGTAAAGAAGTTTTTTGGGATATTAGCAGGGTGGAATAAAAATATTTAATCCTTTCTACTTGGCAGTCCTAAAGTAGTACTGCATTAAGCTAAGGTGAACTATGCGGAAGTAATAGCATTCCTAGATGGTGAAGGAAGGAAAGTAGGTATATACGATAGGCAAGACGGGAAATGAAGAAAATATATGCCTAGAAGTCTAATGGGATTGTCAGGGAGTTTACCACTTTGGCGAGGATTTGGCGTTTGCTTGTTTTATCTTTATAACCTTAATATTTTGTATAAGGTTTTCTCAGTGGAAAAAATCCTAATTCGATTGCATTTCTATTAAAGAAGTTGATATTTATTAAAAAGTATGCAAGATAATAGCAAATATATTTAAGCATATAGTTCGACATTATAAAGATTTTTTTTTTTGAGTATGTTTATTCCGGTTTTCAATAAGTAGTGTACTTCGAGTGACAATCATCAATTGAACGTAGTCTTCACTTGTTGTTCCGCTAATACACCCTTTATTATATCTTTTAAAATCAAAATCATTTAATGATTAAGAATCAAGTATAGAAAAATGCATTGAGGTAGTGATTTTTTTACATGTAAATGAAAGAAAAAGGAAAGAAACTTTAAAATGGTCTTTTCAAAATCGCTTTTCATCTCCTTTATTTTGACAATCGATTGATATAAATTTGCTTAAAAAATTTCTCATCTTTTCCGACAAGAAATCATAAAGTCTTGATGTTTTCAAACTTAATATATTTATTTTTAAACATGTTTCTTTTAATATTTTTTTAAAAAAACGATTGTTAGAAATTTTTTTGTTTAAGGCAGTTAGTATATTAATCAAGATGAATTATTGTTAAAAAAAAACACTGTTCTTCGGCTAGGAATTTTTCTGCTTTAGTTTTAAATAAAAAACAATATTACTAAGAAAATTAGAAAAAAAAACGACATTCTCTTGCGATTCTTTCCCAACTAAACGTCTTTAAAAGCGAGATCGTGCAATTGGTACTCTGCACGTTCTCATTATTTATTCTGCCATGAAGAACATTGTTATTATTTGATTATTTATCGCTCACTTCTAACTTTGAGGATCTCCATCAATTGATTTCTAATAGTGGAACGCATTTAATTTAAGGAAAAATAAGTAAAAAAGCAAAAATAATAATGCCCTATAACTACGAGTAATAACGTAATTCGTCTACATGTGAATCTCTTGTATGAATTTGCCTCTTCCTGGTTTAACAGAGAGTGTTACACTGTTAGAAATTTTATTCTAAAATTACGATAAAATAGCCGGCCGTAGTTTGTCCATCCAATTAACCATAAAGTTTACGGTAAAGGACATTTAACCATTTAACCATTTAACCATTTTTAACCATTTACAACTAGCAAAGTTTCAAAATCGTAAAAAGAAATTTATCCGGACATTGTAGTTAAGCTTTTTTTACGTACTAGTCATTAGAGTTTGGTAATGAGCATGGCCAATCCTCATGTGTTGAAGGGAAGGGAGGATATCTGCATGTGGTGTCAAAACTGGGTTTCGAACCTCCGCTCTGTCAACCATGAGATTGTCAGATTAGCCTTCGCAGCTATAATATGTACCCAGATGCAAGAAAAATATTAGTTTTATTCGGTATGTACGATAGAATTCAAGTCATTAAACCGAAAGCGGTTAATAAACGGTTTTTCTCACAGTTTACAGTTTGAATACCATCTTATCTATGGTTATTTAACTACTTTGTTTAACTATGGTAAAAATAGCAATTAAATATGTAGTTATTCAACCATTTTTTTTCCAGAAATTTCTAACAGTGTATACACTCATTTACTGGAAATCGTCTTTCAAATCCAAGGACTGGTTTTCTTTGAAATGTATCTACTAATTTTTTTTAACTGCCTTAATCTCTTGTTGTTTGTACCTCCATATGTCGTTTGTAGAAATTTTCTGAAATATTCGAGCTCAATTGTCAAAAGGTCTACTTAGGCAGATCAGATTCTTCGAATCATGAAATTGAAAAATACAGAAATTTATTTATATGCAAACAAGAATATTTACATCTTCACTAGAACAATAGTAAAATGTTCTTAACAGGCATTCATAGATTAGTTGCTCACATGACAGGAAGGAAATGTGAAGCAATCACAGAGATTTAAGAGAGAGAAACAAGCAAGGGGCAGAATCTTCTATTGTTATTAAAAGCAAGAAAAGGCAAAAATAATAAATTTTTCGTCCCTTATTATTTTTTTTAAAGCAAAAAAAAAATTGAAAGTTAAAACCTTCAAAGTAAAACTGTTAACTCGTAAGAATTGTGCTTGGCAATCTCAGAAGCTGATAAATATTATTAATTAAAAACGTTCTTTTGAGTTCGGAAGCAATATACAGATTATTCGAAATTCGAACAAACAATATTTATAACAGGAACTAAGCAAAAATTTATAACACGAACGAAGTTTAGGTTAAACACATAGTTATTGCTGCACATTTATGTTACAGGCAGAATGTAATTTGTTCCAACAATATCTAGTTCCAGATCAAATATTTTGCGATATATAGCACAACAAAGTCCTTTCGATCGAGTTTTTCGTTTTGTTTAGATGTGATTTATGTTAATGTAATTCTCCGATAACAACAAGTAATTTTAGCTGATGTTGGAAGCTCTGCCAAATATCGTAATGCAATTTTCATTCATAGAAAATATTCGGCAAATTGTGATGTGATTTTTTTGGCTTTACTTGATTTACAGATATATTGCTTGCAGTTTCTTAAGTCGAACGATTTTTGAACCAAAATCAATAATTCTATGATAAAAAAATTTACGCTCCCAGTTATATAAATTTCATGACGATTTTTTTTTTACCTCAACCGTTTTTTTTATTATGAATTGCTAAAAACCATGAGGCTAGCTTTGTACACCTTAAATCAGAATGTGTAGTACATTGTGCATTATTGGTAAAACTAAATTATGAATGAAAAAACTGAGAAATATATAAACTATAAAACTGTATAAATACTTATAAAAATATAACATAAAATATTTGTAAATTTGTAAAGTTTGTAGCGTTAAAATTATTTTGAAATAGTTTTCAACTTTTTCGGATGTTCGAAATTACAAACTGTATTACGCTGCGAAAAATTCAGGAATAAATTACGGTCAAAAGTACCGGCAATCAGGATGCGCCCAGACTTTTTACAGTAAAATGTATTTCTATCATAACATATGTTACGGGCAAAATATCTGATATACCGTAATTTTTACAGTAATAACTACTATAAAATCTCAGAATCATTCTTATTAAACAAGTATTACTGTAAAAATTAAAATATAATGTTTGAGTGTAAAAATGGATTTTACTGTAAAATGGATTTTATGGATGATGCACTCAATGAGCCGTTACTTTATACCGTAATATAATCAGAAATTTAATACAGTGTTTTACACCCAGTATGTTTGTAATTTTAAAAATCCAAAAAAGACGAAAACTATTTTAAAATACTTTTAACGCAACAATCTTTATACGCTTATGAATGTTTTATATAATATTTATTTATAAGCTTTTTTATTGTTAAACACTACAGTTAAATATCGCTATTTTAATTACTTTCGTCTTCTAAATTTGGTTTTCTCTATTGAAAAATAATACTGTAACTCTAAAAGAAATAAAAATACATATACAACTAAATGGAACTATCTCTGTTGACGAAGCAATTCGAACATTTTCAAAAACCGTCCGAGCGTGTTGATAAATGACAATAGTTAATGAGATTCTTCTTCGCAACAAAATATCGTCACCTAAAAATTGATTGGAAAATAACAACAAAAGGTTAAACGACAAACTTAAAATGATTAATGGCACAGGTGAAACTCAATAATGAGAAATTTATTTTCCAGTGAACGATAAACAGCCAAGTGTGGTACACGCTCGCTTAACGCTGTCATTTTTTTTTATAAGAGGAGGATCATAAAACCCACTCCCTCTGTGGATATCAGTCTTAATGGTGTTTTAGCGCTTGGGGCTTACACATAAAAAGGAATTTATATCCTGGCCTCTTTTAACCTAGGCGCTTCATTCAATCTCTTCTTTTTTGTGTTTACTGCCTTTTTATTCCTAGTATGTTCCATATTCTTAAGGTGCTGGATATTTTTTCCCTGCTTTATTATTCCATAAGTCTGAGAAGATGTTGGCTTATGAAGAAAATAATTGGAATTGGACGATTGATTTCAGATATGATGCGCGTTTCTTTAAATAAATGGATCCTAACGAATCAGCACCGAGAGTTTTAAATCTAAATTTATATTTGGTTTTTTTGATGATTGTCTTTGTATAATGATAAGTTTTAAGCATTTAAATGATTTATTCTTTAATTCATTACTTTACATCTTCAATTGGTTTTGTACTGAATTTATTTGCCATTAGTTTTCTGCGGTTAATACACGTTTGAAATCATTTAAACACTGTCTCAAAGTTTATGATATTATATACAAAAAAGAGAAGTACAGTAGTGTTGATCATTATATATATATATATTAAACATTATGAAAGGGAAAACTTATTCTTTTATTTTTAAAGGTTGGGGAATGGGAACACAATTCTGATGGAAAAATCCGCAAAACGGGTAACTACACGAGAGTTGAAGACGTATCACACAGCCTCAGGAATAAAACGCTTATCATCACAACCATTTTGGTAAGTAGAACTTTTTACATTATTTCGCAACTAAATATTTTTGTTATAAATAGACACAATTTACATTACGGAACGAGAAATCTGATGTACCGTAATTGTTACGGTGCATCATATATATATATATATATATATATATATCTGATGCACCGTAACAATTACGGTTCATCAGATTTCTCGTTCCGTAATGTACCCAGGAAAGGGTGGTAATGTGGTGAAGGTATTCCTGTGACCACTCTTACTTTGTGTTGCCGAGCGTTTCTTGATGAAAAGCATTTCTTGTTGAAGCCGTGGTTCAATAGTAGGGGTAGATCATGGGGCAGCCCATTCTAAAACACCAGCGTTAGAAGCGGTGTGTTGTTGTATGGCGCGAACAGGATTCAGACTCACTCACCATTGTCTGTGCTCGAACTGGTGTCGCCATTAACAGAATTGGATAACAATAAAATAAACCAGATGTAATTTGAGCAGTGATGACCATTTTGTACGAGCTTCCCACGCTCGTGCACTATGCATAATAAAATTGGGAAGCGCGGATTATACAAGTTACTTTTATAAAATAATACGGCGTAAAACGGGTTAAAATTTAAATAATATTTTAACTGTAGGGAAAAATTAGATTTTGTGTAATGTCGGTAATGAAGCTTTAGATTTCGTCTTCTTTATTAAATAAGGAAAAAATCAAATAAACGATGAAGAAAGGAAGAAAAAATAATTTATATCTTGTATCTTTTATATTAAGTGTCTGAAAGTGCTTTGAATCTCATTAAGATAAGGTTGTACAATGTCACTAAACGAAATTGATTTTCATTTATGTTCAGTTATATTCGTTAAAAAAAAAAATACCTGAAATTAGAAATTTGACGCAATATGAATATTATCAGAAAAATTCTTTAAGGCAAATTTAAATTGTTTCATAAAATAATTAATTTGTCAAATGTAAAGGCTTATTTAAAATAATTTGTTTTAAATTATTTCGTTTTTTTATGTTTATTGAGAAAAAAAAGTTATCAAAATCGTTCTTAAATTTATTCTCAGGATTTCAAAAATAATATCATCAGCAGCGCATTTTGGAACTTTTTTAAATTGATTTCAAATAAAGTGAGTTCAAAATATTCTATTTTAAGTATTATTTTGTTCAAATTTATTTAAAAAATCAATATTCTTTTTGATAGAAATATTTTATTTCTGTGTACAAAGAATTATAGGCAAAATGAAAAATCAATAGCAATTTAATTCCTGTCCTCAAATTCTCTTTCTAAAAACAAATTCATCTGACAAGGGAAACTAGGGAAGTGTGACTCGCCAATTTTGAAATAAACTAGTGGGATGTATGCAGGTGACGAACCTCCTAATGTT